AGAGAGAGAGAGAGAGAGAGAGAGAGAGAGAGAGAGAGAAGGAGAGAGAAGCGGGGGGGGGCGAGAGACAGACTGGCGTATATTCCCAAACGGGGAGTTTTTCAGGGTGATCATGTGTTAATTTGCTTCCACGATTCTTCACCTCATCGCGAAATTTTGCCGCACTTCGACCGCTTGGTGCTCTGCGCGCTGCTTGGGCGTTTTCTGTGGTGGCCTTGTTTATGTCATGTTTACGGGGCGTCCTACTTCTATCTCCGTTGAAGAGAGTTTGCATCGAGAGTGGCATTTGTTCACGCCCAGGCGTTGTTTACACCTGACAATATTGTGCCTTCCTTGCTGACGACTCAACACATGCCCTTACCGACACGCGCGGCAGGAGACGGAGGACTTGTTAGCTGATGTTCTTGGGGTTGAGGTGTTCAGGCAAACAATCGCGGGCAACGCGTTGGTCGGGAGCTACGCGGTGATCACCAACCAGGGGGGCATGGTGCACCCGCGGACTTCCATCGAGGACATCGAGGAGCTGTCGAGCCTGCTCCAGGTGACCAGTCTGCCTCTTCCCTTCCCTCTACATCAGAGCACAGAGCACGTGATCATGGTTGTTCACTTCTCTCCGTGGTTTTACGTTTTCCTTGAACGTGCCCGCTGTTCGTATCCTCTACAACCCCTTCAATCATGGAAACCAACGCTTGTCGGGAGCGTTTTTGCCACTTACTCATGGGTACTTTGTAGGAGCTCCCCCGGTGGGCATGCGAGGCTCACACGGCGGGGCGCCAGCTCTGCGTTTTCCATCACCTACACATACCGGGTGGGTATGGTCCACACGTTTCTTGTGCTCGGCATGTTGTTGTTGCCGTGCTGTGCGCTATCCCAATCTACTTCCTTTTGGTAATACTTCGGGGTATCTTTTGTTCACATGAGCATCTGCTGAAAAAGAGCATAATGCTCCCAAACACAAGGTAGCATTCATTGCCAACCACCCGTATCGGTAGATGAATCATTTGACCTATACTCACCCCGCCCCCGCCCCCCTCCCCGACCCCTCTCCTAACGGCCGCGTCTTTCTTTTCGACCTGCCCCTTCAGATCCCATTAGTGGCGGGAACAGTAAACAGAGGGTCTGACGTGCTAGGAGCGGGGGTGGTTGCTAACGACTGGACGGCGTTTTGCGGGCTGGACACGACATCAACGGAGATCAGCGTCGTAGAGTCTATCTTCAAGCTCAACGAGCAGGGCCCCTCCAACATCGTCAACAGCATGCGAAGCTCTCTCATCGACTCGCTGACATGACCCTGTCAAGAAGTTGACAACATGCAAGCTTTTTATCGGAAAAAAAGTGTTGGGGGAAAACGCCGGAGACGTTCGCCGGCGAAGGACCTGATTGTTCGGACCTTGTTGTTGAAGTGAAGGCATTTTTGGACATATGGTTCTAGTAAGGCGTAATCGACAACCATTAGCAACCGACAACAGACATTTTTGGAGCATGCGGTTGACGAGCAGTCGGCAACGGTTGGCAATCCATTGTATCTGCGCAACAGGCAGCGGTAGGCGTTGATTGACAAACAGAACGTGGACTTGGATAAGGGCCACCCGAACCGGTAGACATTCCCCCGCCCACCGCCACGTGTGTCACCTCGCTTTGGTCGCCGTGGCGCGAGACTCGTGTGTGTGTGTGCACACATGATGTGCCCCCCACGCCACGTAGCCCCCGAACTAGGTAGGCAGTGCGTTCGCGCGCCAGCAGGTTGCTTCAAGCGCACGCGGCTCCAACGTTGATCTTAACATCGAATGTGGTTTGTTAAAGTTGGGTCGCGATGTAGATACACCCAGCAGAGAGAGAAAATATGAAACACGGCGGTTTCCACGCACATAGTTTGGGGGCTTTTTCATGGCTCACCAGGAACTTGTGTCGTGTAGGATAGGACCGCCGACATGACGGTATGGGTGGTAGCGTAGAAAGCGTTTCGTTGTCCATGGGCCTTGCATTATGGGTAATTAACTCCGCCCTGTTTTTCTCTTTTCCTCGATTTTTTTGCTGTGCTGATGGCGTTGAGGCAAACGCGCAGTTGACTTCGCACATTTCCGCCTTGACTAAAGGCAGGCAAAGGCCCTGTGACCACACGCCCAGAGGGGGGGGGGGGGGGGGG